AAGAATCTGCCCGGCACTCGTGGCGTGCATGTATAGGTATATCTGCAAAGCACCTCTCTACCTGCAGGACGTGCAGCTCCTGCTGATTTCGTTACCAGGTCATGCCATGAAGAATAAACAATCGTTAATGGCGATTTCAATTGGAGACTTTTCAGCTGCCAGCCATCTTCTATGTACGAGCTACATAGTTTAAAGGTTGCACAGTCTGAGTCTGAGTCTGATGAGTAGGTTGTTTTAAGTGGGCATACGACCATGCGAAGTTCAAAAGACGCGGGCGGACGGTGCAATTTGAATCAAGAGTCACGAACTCCAGCATTCCGCGACCCATCATCAGCAACATGGCTGCTGCTCCTTCATAGGAATCAATAATCACAATGCAGGCTCCGGCAAAGGGGAAACGAGTTCCATCTGGACTCCTGGGGCACGAGGAGACTCGCAAGGTTCAGAGCTGATTAGCATCTCGCATACATCGCTCTCGTGTCTGGTGGCTCAGCCTAGTCTCGCAGGGTCCTGTCCTGTAACGCCTTTGGGAAATTGCCGAGGTCAAGATGATAGCGGATGTCCGTGGCAAAGTCGCACGCACGCACTCACGAGTCCAGTACCGGTACCTCCGCGCTGACCAATGCTGCTCATCCTCCTACAGCTTGACGATCTGTGCAAGCAAGTCAAAGTCACAACAGCGTCGTTGCGTTGCAAAGCTCCATCCTGCTGCATAGACATGCAGCTGCACAGCTCCATGTGTCGGGCAGTACCTACAGTACTGATTGCCCGCAAAGCAAGTTGGATGGCAGCGGGGGGATTGCGTGACAAACACAGCAGCAACGCACCGCCGTGAACGTGCACCGTCTGCGGCACCGCACCATGGCCGGCGAATCGTACGCCTGCTACAGTTTGAGTACGGTACGGTGCTCAGCAGCAGGCGCCGGCCGGTCTACGCGCGTTTGCAGAAAGAAGCGCTTTCAACTGAACGTCGCATGAATGGCCCGGCCCGTCTGTCTAGCTTCAAGTCAAAGCTCCCGGCGGCACGCTGCTCTAGCGTCCTTGTCATGCACTCCTCTTTCCGAACCGATTTAGAAACTCTTTTCGAGCGATGAGAGCTACGGTACCAGCAGCGATATGTGCCCTATCACTGATTGGCGCACACCGCATTCGCACTATTGACTCTGATCCATGCTTCGCGTCCAAAATTTGTTCGTGCCTTGACAGTCCGTCCAGCCGATGCGATGTGTGTACCGGTACATACCCGGCACGTCAGCTTCATGCGCGTCCGCACCGCAATCCTCACGGCAGAGTCTGTCAAAGGGGTCTACCGACCATCGTCTCGGCCGCAAATGACGGCAGCGATCTCATCACCGCGATGGACTCGAGACCCTTGCCAGCCCTGCCGCGTGCGCCAAACCCCTGCGCAGACATGAGAGAGTCTCGATTTCAACATGGCCGGTGGAACAAGCATCAGAAGCTGTGTGGTTCGCAGCTCTTTGGGCAGAGAGAGTCAAGCCTTGCTCATCGGGCTCGACGATGTCGGGACAGTCAAAGACAAACGCGAACTGTCCGCCACGCCAAAGCGCGGCCAGCGCCGCGCCCCTTTGGACCGTGTGTCAAGACTTTTCCAATTGCATACGCTATCCGGCAGCCCAAAGATGTGTTTCGCAGTCCCAAGCACAAGTCGCGACGACGCCTTGTTGAAACAGGCTCCAAGCCATGCCCACCACAAACTCCGTATGTGCGTCGTGTCTTCTTCTGAGAGCGCCTTGAGCGCCTATACGAGGTCCAGCTTGGATTGCAGCTCCAACATCAGCGTCCCATATCCTAGCCGACATGTCGTACGATGTGGATCCCAGAGTGCTCGCATTGTGAGGTGACCATGCGACTCTACGAACCGCGTATTCGTGTCCCATCAAGACTGCCGAGATTTCTCCACCGAGCGGTCCAGCGCCGGCGGAAGAAGCGGGTGGCTGCGGCACGGATCTGTTGACTGCTGATCTCAGGTCCCACACCTTGATCGCTCGATCGGTGCTGCCAGTCGCAATATGCGTGGGCCTGTACTTGTTCCAATCCAGACTCAACACTTCTCCTCCGACTGGCACAGCAGCGGCGGGAGGTGCATTGGGACCCTGCCGGACGTCGAACAGCCTCAGATGCCCATCTCCACAAGCTGAAGCGAGAAGGTCTGGGTTGTGTGGAGACCAAGCTACCCCATAAACGCAAGCAGAATGGGAGCCGATGGCCAATAAAGATCTCGGTTGTTCGGGATGCCACTGTAACGATGATGCAAGCAACGAGTTGAGCGGGACAAAGTTTATGCGCGGTGATTCAGGTCTTTCAAGATGATGAGACAAGCCGACTCACCACTCTGACGCTCCCGTCCCAGCTACTTGATGCGAATAGCTCTTTCTTGAGATTGTTCCAGTCCACGCTGAACACTTCGCGTGTGTGCTCTGCCCAGTTCCTTATGGGATGCTCCTGAAAAGATGAAGGACTCTTGTTCGTATAAGCTCAGGCACAACTCGCTCCTCGCCCCGTGCCAAGTCTAGCCTTCTCCGCTACTTACCGCTAGCGTAATGTCCCACAACTTGATGCTCCCATCGCCACTACCTGTCACCAATTGGTTCTCGTGCATTTCGCTCCAAGCTACATCGTACAACCCATCCTGCGTATCAAAGCTGAGGAGCGCGAGGTGCGGCAGTCAGCGGTTCAGCTTCTCACCAAGACACGGCATCAACACCATCCGCGAGTACCCAGCCGCATCTTTTGTGCGCTGCAGCTGCCTTCCTATGAGCAACGCCACCACCGAGGCACCTCACTCACCCCTTCTCTACTCTGATTCCAGCTGCTCCACCTCCCCTTCCTGCGCCCCCAATCGCTCCTGTGCCAAATATGTGCACCCGACCATTGCCCACCAGGCCATAATTTGCAGCTCCTGCAAGGGCTAACTTGTCGGGATAGAAAGGGGACCAAGCCAAGTTGTAACCTGCGAAGCCTTGAGTTGGAATGCGTGCTATCAGGGGTGCGGAAAGGGAGGAAGCAGCTGGTGGAGGACGTAAAGGGGGCGGAGCAGCACTTCCGCCTCCTCCTGGTGGTATATTTGACATTTCCAGTCCAGAAAGGGAGGATTCCGCTCAGCCAAGTGGAGCACCTGTGGTGCGTGCTCGTTCAATTCGGCTTGAGCAGTCGAGGCTCCAGTGTGAACGTGTGCTCCGGTGCAGCTTCTAGCTTGCGGGGTCTTGCTTGCTCCCGTGCGCTTTGATCCCTGCCGCAAGTGATTCCAGAGGAAGTGATGCGCTTTCCCCTTGACCCTCCGAGTCAACGTGAGAGACGTGTGCGGTAGGGGACGTGAAGATTGAAGGCTCAATGCACGCCGAGGATGCCGAGAAGTCGTCGATTTCGAGTCAGAAGCAATCACGAATAGAATTCAGATTCCGCGCTGTGCTGATGATGATGCTGCACGTACAGTACATATACGCCATCTCCACGCGTTTGCACGTCCGTGCGCATGTGGATCGCCTGCCTGCCTGCCTGCCTGTCTGCCTTTCGCACGTCTCCAAACAGCGAATTCAGAGCGGGCACCGTGCCATCTCTCCCTTGCCTCTCTGCATGCATGCATTCACTTCACACACACAACCACCTTCGTAGGAACAGGTTGGCGCAGGGCGTCGCTGATGCACTAAATGCAGCATCGAGGCTGACCTCGAAAGGAAGAAGGTGCCGACGCTCGCGGCGACGAAAGGATGCCTCAAGTCGATGCTGAAGAATTTCATGCAGCGGTGTACGACATTTGTCGTCTGATTGTGAGCTTCAGATGCCTTGCCCGCTTCGTGGGGGCATACGTGCGCACAAGAGACAAAGCTGAACCTTTTTCCCCCTTCCCACTTTGCCATCGCTGAATTGGATTCATCATGCCAGCCGCGGGGACGAGTCACTTCGTACGGCCACATTGCCAAGCTCGCTGGACATCCCAATCGTAAGTCAGCAGCTAGTCTTCTGGTCCTTCCAGCATAGAGCGCAACCAGACGCAACTGAGGCCCCTAATTCTGATTCACGTCTCGCTCAGATTCGCGCATGGTGGGAACAGCGCTGGCCCTGCTAGGTCAGGAAGCTTCTCTGGATGCCTTGCCGGGCGAGGGTGGCGGTCACAATGTCCCTTGGCAGAGGGTTATATCTTCCAGCGGACTTATATCTCTTCGTGGTCCTGGAGATGTCGGAGCTTCGAGGCAAGCAGAGAGACTCAGAGCCGGTGCGTACTTTGCCGAGCGAGCATGTATCTCGAGAGCACGCACTCAGGAATTTGATCTGCATGGCTCGTCTCGCCTCCTAGAAGGAGTAGAGGTGACACAAGCGCCAGGGATTAGTCAGTATAGAGTCAGCTTCTCGGATAGCGCTGGTTACGCTTGGTGTGAGTCAAAGCTACTCCTTACCATCTCGCCGAAGAGAAGGATGCGCTAAGTGTCCCCTCCTTCCGCTGTGTAACGCTCCATTCACACTACATATATGCTCCCTCTCCAGTCCCTGCTTCTCTTGCGGAAGCCAGAGCTCTGGCTACGACAACGTGACGCTCCACTCGCAAACCTTGGCGAACGTCTTTCTCCGTTTGGCCCGTTTACTTGTTCGTACCACAAGCTACAGCCAGACGCCGTTTAGGAGCTTTTACGTCCCCGGACCTCCGGAAGCAAGCGATGTAAAGAACGTGAGAAGACGTACCCTCCATCCTCGTCGAACACGGCATGCGGATAGCACGCGCCGGGCAAGTGACACGGCTAAACTTCGCGCTTCAAGCATCAGGTCGAGCGCTGGCTTTTAGTAGCTGCAAAAAGGGTCGGCAAGCGCGATTGCAGCCGACGCATTCGCCTCTTGCGATGAACATTCCCATGCACAGCATCGTCTGAGAAGCGTCTTGCAAGTGTGTAATTATCGGTCGAGAACGTGGAAGTAAAGCACGCGTGTCCATACAAAATGCAAAAATGTCCGTGACGTGGAGCGATGAGGCATGAGAGACGAAGAGATGAAAAAAGCAGGTGTGAGCCTCAAAAGTCGGAAGCTCAGGCGTCAAAGCGAATTATGAGAACAGCTAGTTTGAACAGAGGAACGCCGAACAAGAGACCTCAGTAGGTGTGCGAGGGTCAAAAGTGTTTTCTCGCTAGCCGTCCTTTTCTTCGCTCCTCCTCATCATCCGAATCCTCCACTTTCCCTCGAGGATTGAGGAGCTCCTCCTCCTCCTCGCCTTCCACAGCTTCCTTGTTCCTCGCTCTGAAAGATCCCGAAGTGGCGCCCGGAAACACCTTGTCCGTCCTCTCCTTGGTGCTGCTCGGGGAATCACTGATTCCACCAGTAGAGTCTTGCGTCGCGTCCAATGATAGCTCCGCAATGGACTTCTCGGAGGGCGTGAGACCCGGTATCGGGGCGTCCCACATGGTTCTCAGATCAGGTGCAGCTGTGGAGCGCGAGAGAGATCCTTGCTGCCTAAGCGAGTCCGGCAGTGGTCTAGGACCACCTACAGACCGGATGCTTGGGCTTGCAGGCTTCTCTTTCTCGTTGACCTCTTCTATAGAGTCGCCACGGACCGGAGTTGATCCAGCTCTCGGACTCAAAGGGCTCAAGAAGGATGCGGGTTCCGTCTTGTAGATGCTTCGTTGCGGTGCATTGCTGGTGCTGTTGCTAATGTTCGATGTTCTGGAAACGCTGCGCAGCGGCGCATCACCCGCGTGATGGCCATGGGGATTTTCGGAGCCTTCTGCAAAGCTGATTGCAGTGTCACGCTTTATAGGCATGCCCAGCGCTGGCATAGTGTAGTGTCCGGGTGCTTGATTCGTGCCTCGGCGCACTGGCGCATCGTGAAGCTCGTACCTCTCCAGATCGCGCCTGGAAGACGTATTCAGCATGCCGTCCTCATCTGCATAGGCGTCTGCGGAGGCATGCAGCTTTCTCGCAGATCGTGCTCTGATGAGACTGCCCACCACCCCCATACCACCTCGCACTGCATCCACGCCAGGGTCATCTAGTCCCTGCGTGCCAAATTGCGAGCCCTTCTCGCCCCCATGCCGCGAGACCATAGACCTCGAGGCTCGAATGAGAAGTGTCGTTTCTCTATCCAGAGGCGAGCCATCCTTGTTTGTGAGATCCTCAGGGTCAATCTTGCTGAGCTGCAGCAGGGAGATGCCTGCACAGATCGTCAAGAACCCGAGCACAATTGTGACAATGGCAATCGCGTCTGCATCCAGACCTTGGTAGAGCACGATGCTGGTGACCAGAGTGCAGAAGGTGAAAATGACGTAGTAAGTGGGAGTGACCATGGCGGTGTTGAAGAGCTCCAAAGCTTTGTTGAGATAGTTGATCTCTATGAGAAGCGTGACGATCACGAATACGAGCAAAACGTAGAAGAACCAATGTGTGAGCTGCATGTTACCTCTGATGGTGAGGATCACTGCGCTTCCAATGCCGCTGATGGTGCTGACACTCAGTCCACCTATCAAGGAACAGATGGTGATGGGGATGAGCATCTGCTTCTTGCCGTATCGAGGAGTTGCCCAAAAGATGAGAATCAAGCTGCCGACAATGCAGACCCCCATCCAGCTAAGAAAGCCAGGAGCGATAAATAGATGCATGAAGCTCTTGATGTCTCCGGCCTGATGCGACGAGGGTGCATTGATAGCGATGACTGTGGACCCGACGATGCACTGTTCGACACGAATGTGCCACTCTGTAAGCCTAACATGCTATATCTCGCTGCCCGGTTGCAAAATCGAGACCCACTAGTGCAGCACCCAGCTTTCCAAATAGTGCTACCAGGGCGACAGAAGTCCGTAGTGGTGGATGAGTGAGCTGTCGGCGAGGAAGTGTCAAATGGACCTTTCCTAATTGTTCCATCACTCACTCAGCTTCTCCTTGAGAAAGATGGAGGATAGAATGGCACAAATGACGACGGAAAGGGCTCCAAGCGGCGTGACTAATACGGCCGAAGACACAGCGTACGCTACGACATTCAGAATTTCTCCCAGGATCTGCAAAGGTGATAGAAAAAGCCGCCAGCAAGAAATGAGTGTGAGCGCCCGTGATCCATCAGCAAACGCGAGCTAGTGGCCCCTCTGAAAATCGTTGTCATTGTTTGGATGCAAGCAGCTGGCGCTATGCAAATCTGATTGCGATACTCACCATGAGGATCATGCCACTCCACCACATCCAGCTCTTGAGGTACGCATGCCCCTCTCCCGCTTTCTGGCCATGCAACTTCTGACTGGCCAAGAGGCCCTTCTTCTTGAGTACAAAGCTAGATCCGATGAACAGTCCAGATCCCACAGCCAGTGCAATTCCCACGTATTGGAAAGCTGGAGGATTGGAGCCGCTTCCGCTGGCTATCGCGGATTCGCTCGATAGAGCTTTCGAAGCTGAGGCCATGGCTGCGGAGAGCGATGACATGGCTGCTGAGGCTGAAGATGTTGAGCCTGCAGCATCAAGGGAGCTCGCGCTCGGCAGCGCTGAGGAAGCGGCTGGCGATGTCATTGTGATCGGGGTGGTCGCGCTCATCTTGGGCAGCCCGCTTGGCGCTTCAAGCAGCCAGCTGGGATGCTATGCTGCAATCTGAATGTGGCGGGTCGCGTGAGAAGATGAGTGGGATCAGAGCAGGCACCTGAATTTGACTTCCCTGTGCCTCTAGTCGCAGAGCGGCATCGCTGAGCAGCAATGTTTGGTAGATGCTTGCAAGTCTTCCTTCGTGGATGACAATGACAGGAAGAGGAGCGAACAGAAGCGGTGCTGCTGCGAAACTCGACTTCGAATGCGCGATCACCTTCATCGGTCGGAGCTCCATTGTGGTTGTGATTGTGAATTCTAGGCGCATGGGCACGCATTCTCGCGCTCGGCGGCGGGCATCACTTGCTTGGTGCGTCAGCAGCTACACACACACACACACACACAGAGAGAGAGAGAGACCCCTCTTTGGAAGTATGCGTGCGTGCAGCAGCGTGATCGCATGAATACCCGTGCGGCTAGCTGCGATCGTGCGCACGGCTGATGCAACGAGCCCCTCGTGTCAATCTTGGCGGCTCCACGCGTGACTGCAGCTGCTATCCATCCAGCCAGCAGCGTCCTGTTGGACGAGGCGGTGCAGGCACCCTCACCCAAATCAGAATCCAATTCACATTCGAGGCGGAGCTAGGAGAGCGCAGAGGCGGGCGAATCTCTCTCCGCCGCCATGCATGCATGCACCGCTGCAGCAGGTCCTCGAGCCGTGCCGTGTAGCGCGCGGCAGGCACCCACACCCACGACTTCCACACTCAATCACACTCGATCGTGACTGGCAACACAGCCTCTGCCGCCGGTCGTCCCGCAAAGCCAGATGGAGGTGGTGCCACGAGTTGTTTTTTGCTGATCGATAAAGGATCATACATTCATGCGATCGACGTCGACGACCCGACGACAGCGAGTTTCACCCTCACGCTCACTCCATGTCACCAATCGCGGAGGGCCAGAAAGCACGCTCCTCCCTTGCACTCAATGCTTGCTTCTGACCACAGTTCGATGGAAAGGTCAACAGTCTCCACATTCGCTTGCGATATCCACCAACTCGTCACTAAATTTCAAGATCGATTGGACGAGCGGACGGCGAAGAATCGCGATGGTGAAGCTCAGCACCTTTTGAAGTCGGATCATGACGTTAGACTGCGTCGCGCTCCTGTATCCAGCTGGTTCATGTCCTCGTCATCGATCATGAAGGATCGGGTCAGAAGCGGATCGAAATCAGTTGCTAGTGTTTCAATGAGCATAGATTGTGGAGACAGAGAAGGGGACAACAAATGCTCAATGTCACAGGTCTTGTAGCGAATGTCCGATCGAGGAGGGTGAGACCGTACTGCTTGGGCCGTTGTGCGATTGTCCAAAATGGAAATGACTGCGAGGGAGAATGTAGGAGAAGAGATAGGAGGGCGCCCGAGATTGTCCAGCTGAAGAGTGTTCAAGATGCGCGTCAGGGCGCACGACGCGGCTAGCATCCATCAACGAGGCTATTCTTGGGCCACGCTTTGGGCCACACGGTCACGTTAGGATTGTAGTACACATCCTTGTGCCTCTCGATAAAAGCTGAGGTAGGATGATCCGGCGGGCTGCAGCTTACGCGTTCAGGCTGGCCATTCTTTTGGTAGACGCGCACATAGTCCACCTTCATGGTCGCAGGGAAGTTCAGCGTGTCGAAGACGACGTTCTGGAAGCCTTGGGAGATGCCAAAATTGATGACAATCTGCAAACCAGCGAGCGAAAGAAAAGGTTCAAAATCTCCAGCATCTCTTAATCATTCCTTCATCACTCACGCTCATGGGCTCTGTCGGCACATGACGCTGGCCAACACCAATGTCTGGATTTGCTGGCATAGATTTCCCATCCATTCGCCAAGTTGGCTTGCCATCGACGTACCACGTCAAGAAGCCGCCGCCGTTGAGCTCAAAATCTGGCGAGTATTCTAATCCGAAACTTGTAAACGTCGGATTGTCGGCCAACTCATACGCCTTCTCAGGAATGTTGGACACTCCGGACTGCGCCTCTAATGGACGAGCAAGGAGCGTTGAGCGGCATCGGCACCATACCCAGGGGAAAAAAAAA